AAAGAAGAGGGAGGTTCAGAAGGTGGTGTTGTTGTGAAGGTAATTAGTTGACTCTTAGTTAAGTCTATAGCATCAATGGGTTTCTATTGTTTTTGGTTATCGTGTAATGCAAAAATATTGAATCTGTTCCAATATTTGTAACTTCACAGGACTGTCTTGAATTGTTAACCAATCTCATTCGCAACAATGCATCAAATCAGGTATGCAGGGGCGTAGCCAATATAGGACAAGAGTGGGCCTTGGCCCACCCACACAAAATTAAGGTTATATATATATATATATATATATATATATATATATATATATATATATATATATATATATGTTAAATAAAAGTAATCGGGGTTGTAATATGGTCTATTCCATTCAAAACTTGAAATTAGTATAAGAGAATACATTGTTGTCTATGTCGATTAGACTCCATTTTAGATTATTTTAATGATGTAAGATAATATCGTGTGCAACTTAAAATAAACAATGTAGTTAAGAATGCATATATAATTACATTTTGTTATCATTTGAAGAATTTTGCCACTTGTTCTTATTTTGTATATTATTTGGTCTACCTTAAAACAAAATCCTAGCTACGACACTGAGGTATGTGTTTCTTTTGTTAAAATATTTACTGGAGTGAAGTTTTTTTTATTCATTTTGTTGCTTTTTACCACTTTATAGATGTTGTTTAGGTGTTGTTGAGGGAGACTATAGGCTTTCATATCAATTTTGAAGCTAAAAGGAACCACATAAAACTTTACTCGGCAAAAGGTCATACATTAAGTACTTATTAGTTTATTTAGACTGGCATTTACCTTTATAAACATGCTTTTAAAGTTTTATCATGTTTTAAAGTTTTAAGTTTGAAATTGGTGTCTATAGACAGTCAATCTACTGAGTGGCTTGGAAAAAATTCATTTGCTGCTGAGTGGAGGTCTGGAAATCGATCCTAGATGAAACTTCAAATACATCACTGATTTGACATTTTTCAACAGTATCAAACCTTCATCATGGATTCTTCTCCTCCTTTGTATGTTGTAGTAGTGCCCAAACAAGCCTTCTGTCTTTGGATGTTCAGCTGAGGATGATTGTGTAAATATTTGGGATTATGAACAGGTAAAAATGACTTTTCCCTTATCAAGATTTACTATTTTTTAGATACCCATTTCAAAGTTCATATTCTTTTGGGTTAAATAGCAATTTACTTTCATTTTTTAGCATCCTACTTTTGTTTCTTCCTATTACAACATTGTAGTTGAAACTATGGTAATGTCATTCAAAGACAAAGCAATTTTCAAACTACAATGTCCTAATATGAAAAAAAAAAGTATAATTAGGTTTGATTTTTGAAACTACAATTCCTTTTTAAGAAAAAAAAAAGGAAAGTACAACGGAAAAAAAACCTTTTTTTCTCTTCCTTGACACTAACTTTTTATTTTTTTATTTTTTTTATTTTTTATTTTTAATTTTTATTTTATTTTTATTTATTTTTATTTTTTTGCATTTTATCTTTGACAAGGTTGGTCAAAAGATGGAACGTGGGGCAATTTTTAGAAATTTGCCCTTATTTGTTTTTCTTACAATTTTCTTGGTTTGCAATCATTTTCTAACATATTTTTTGAATATCATTTCTCCAAACAACACTTAATGGAAAAAAAAAAGACATGGCCAACCAAACTGCATGTGTCCAAGATCACATATCTTGAAAAAAGTATAAATCTTCTTCTATATATATATTAGGGGTGTGCATCAAACCGCACAAACCGTATAAACCGCCCATACTGCACCACACCGCACCGCATAATGCAGTTTTGGACGCTCGTGGTGCGGTTTGCGGTTTATAGTTTTCATAAACCGCACTATGCGGTGCGGTTTGCGGTTTATAGTTACCAAACCGCACTGCAACATACCATATATATATATATATATATATATATATATATATATATATATATATATATATACACACACACACACACAACACACTAGATGTTTACCACTTTTAATACTCTTAATAATGTTTATGAGATTGCGATTGATAAACATGAGTCAAAATATGAAACCAACTATATCAAAAATATGTGTTTACAGTGCCATAAGTTCGTATTATAATTTTAAAACATTGTAAAATATTTTGATGTTATGTATTAAGAAGATGCTTATATAGGTAATTAATCTTTTCTTCATAGAATATAAAGCACCACACACTTATTATGTTTATGTTTATGAAACCGCATAAACCGCACAAAAACCGCAAAACCGCCCGCACAAAACCGCACCGCATAACGCGGTTTATAACCTTTGCGGTGCGGTCTGCGGTTCCCGAAAATAACAAACCGCATATGCGGTGCGGTTTGCGGTTTTGAGTATAAACCGCACCAAACAGCACCTCGAACACCCCTAATATATATATATATATATATATATATATATATATATATATATATATATATATATATATACACACACACACATTAATATTACCATTTAGAACATTTATTATTTGTTGGTGATTGCTGCTAAATGCAGACTACAATATTTGAGAAGAGTATGATGAAACAGGGGTGGTGCTTTTCTTCCAAAACAAGCAGATATTTTACCTGATAAAGATCACATATTTGAGGAAGAGTATGATGAAACGAACATTTACTACTGTTATATTTTTTCTTTGTTGTTATTTTATAAGCTTTTGGATGATGGATTAAATGAAATTAATTGTTTTTTTAGGCTAATACTGACTGATTACAAAGGTGTGTGCCATGTTGCTCTTGCACAAGGTCATTGTAGGCCTCGAGAGGTACACACAAATTAATTAAATTCAATTTTAAATATTAAGTATTATATAAGTAATTAGATATGTTAAATTAGTTAACTTTGTTCATGGTTTGTATTCAGGTGTTACTTGGTATTGATTCCTACACGTGTATTGTTGGAGCATTTGGCCAGTTTGCTACACTGATGCCGAATTTGTGTTAGGAACCAGAAGGCTATTGCTTAAGGTTTGAAAATTTGTGTTTTGGTTCTTTCTCTTGCCTTTTCTTCATAGGTGGTGTTTGTTTGTTATGATGAAATTAGGGAAGGAATGGAATGATTCATCCCATTGGAATTATAAAAACTTTGCTCGTCATTACCTTGTTTACAGGTGCCTCCAACCTTAAGATTCGTATTGGATGGAGAAATGCCAGATTATCTTCTTGCAAAAGATTTGATTTTACAAGTAAGATTCACTTTCAATAAGTTCTTGTTACAATGTACCAAAAAATAATCTTTTAAACACAACTTTAAACTTCCTATCTTGATTCACTAATCAGTTTTTTTGTCATAGATAATTGATGAAATATCTATATCTGGTGCCACATATAAAGCAATGGAGTTTGTTTGTTCAACTATCGAAAGTCTAACAGTAAGTTTTTAACCAATTTATACGGTCATGTGTTATTTTTAATCTAAATAGGATATCAATTTTTAGTTTTATACAGACACTTTTGGAAAAAGATTGGCTTGTTTCGGGGCATCTATTTTGGCAGGAACTAAAGCTTATATTATTTATGTTTAAAAAAGTTTTTGTTAGGATTTTCTGAGTTTTGTGTTTTTCTATTACATTTTTGTCCATTTAATATAAAAGAATGAATTTTTATGTAATTATTATTTTTAAATAAAATTGCTACTTACCGATGATTTAATGGATGTTGAATATTGAAACTTTTTAATATTTTTATATTTGCTGGTTTTAAAATATAGACTTTATGTATGTTTTGATATTTTTCCGTGTTGAATATGTAATTATTTTTTAATTTTTCATGAATTTATAATTGTTTTTGATAATGCCAAAATCCGTCGCTAATCTGTCACAAAAATTTGGTGATAAGCCGTTAGTAAGTTATTCTGAGATTCTGTCGGTAATCTGTTACAAACACATTTCGTCGGTAATCCGTTGCAAACTATTTACGTCGGTGATCGGTTACTAGTTACTGATGGAAAATTCCGTCGCTAAAAATTTGGCGTAGTCGTCAGAAATCTATTACAAACAATTAGCGACAAGAATATACCGACGGATTTTGGTCTGTTGCAATTCTGTCGGTATTAGCGATGGATTATCGACGATTTTGGCTGTCGGTAATGCTCTTTTTTTATAGTACTGAAAGAACACAACTCATATTCAATAAAGCTTTCACGAGAGACCGAGTAATAGAAAGCTCCCGGTCTCCAAAATAGCCCTATAAACGCAAAACGTCCCTTAAGATAGAGGTATCTCTCTTCTATATCGTTAATCTATGCTTTAAACATGCGATTTTATTCTGACTTATGTATCAGAGAACTCCCACATTATATCTCTTGTCGTTTGTATTATATTAAGGAGATTGCATGTTGAGGACTTCACCAAAAAGAGGCAAATATCATTAGTCATTTCATCATATCAGTCATATTTGCTCACAATTCTAGTATCAATATTTGATACTATTAGTTATGGAAAATTCTGATTATATATGTGTCCAGGTGTCTGCTCAATAACCGTATAATGGACATCATCACTACTAGAAAAAAGGTTTTCCTTGACAGACAATGTCTGTCATAAATGCCTATATATGACAGATGACAGACAATGTCTGTCATAAATGCCTATATATGACAGACAAATGTCTGTCATTGAAAGCCATGTCATAAAGGAAAATGACAGACATTAGGTCTGTCATAAAGTTTACGAGACTTTCATGACCAACAATTACGACATACATACACGACATGCGTTTTCGACATACATTTACGACTGACTTTGTCATAATTCGTAACTTTTTTGTATTTATCACGGACATTTACGAATGACGGACATTTACGACTTCAAATTACGACATGTTTTGTACAATATGGTTTTTGACATATTTTTACGACATGCTTTGTATGTCATGGTTTTATAGTTTTTTTAAATTATATATATATATATATATATATATATATATATATATATATATATATATATATTCTACCAAATCTTAATCAAACTAAATTACAAATTTATTGTCCAAATTACACAAACTATAGTGTCAAATTCAAAAATACGTTCCAAATTCATCAAAAAGTAATTGTCAAATACATCACTCGTAAATTAAGTTTATGACATACGTTTCCCATTTTTCACGCACCCTATCAAGCTCGACATCTGTATATTCATTCTTCCCCCAAGCCTGTAATTAAAATATTCATTAAATACCTTCCAAAAGCCTCCCCATCAAAACCTGTAATTAAAAAAACACTTGAATCTTTTAATAGAAACTTGAATTAATAGAAACAAATTTAGTATATGCATGTTATATTGTTATTGTACACACCTTCCACCAACTATAAGATGTAAAGCCCTTAAAAGCCATGATTTATGTTTGTAAAGCTCCCCTGCCTGGTATATTTGGAATCTGAAGGGCAAAAATGGAATTAGCATCAGTGGAGAAGAAGATAACCCTGGATTAAGAAAAGAGATTAAGATTAAATAAAGTTTTAACCGTTAGCAATCTTAAAACTTTATTTTTCTAAATATATATATATATATATATGAGAGAGAGAGAGAGAGGATGTAACTGAAAGTTTATTTCAGTATAGAAGTCAAATAACAAAAAATAAACAAATGGCCCAGTTGAAAGCTTACATAGACCAATATGAGACAGGTTAAGACCTTACCTTACAAACTGGTTAGGGATTAAGTATTGTACTTGAACTGCTAAAAGAATAATTGAAATCTTGGTTGGTCAGAGTTGACATCATCACCCAATATGCAATCCTGCCAATAATAAAAGAAAAACCCAATAGACTAATTCACAATTTTAGAAGGCTTAAAGGCAGTTCTAGAAGCACCTTCAGCTATCAGACATGAAATTCTGCTATGAATGTGTAGGTCCATGTTTATATTAAAGAAGAAACAACTTAACAAGGGCAGTTCTGGAGTTTGATGAGTCCCAAGTCTGCAAAGATCTTTAACTGTTATCCTTTGTATCTCATCTAAAGTGTTCATATTATATGCCTGTTTTTGTTTTCAAATCACATTTATGTTTTAAAATATATATATTAAAAAAAAATTGATACCTCGCCAGTAACATGAAAGCTAAGTTCCAGCAGAAATGAGATCAGATCTGCAGAGTCCACTCCTCTGTCCTGTTCATAAAAAGTTCAAAAAGGACTCAAAATATAGTATTTAGAGAATATAGAAAAATTACAGATGCAAAAAATATGAATACCTCAGAATTACTGATATACTCCCTGATGATATACATTATACCAGAGTTGTGCATTGGTATCCATTAGCTGTAATGCAAAAAAAACGGATATCAATAATTTTAATAAAATACAGAATATAAATAAATTCAAGTACATATTTTTCATACCAGGAAATGAAAACCACTTTCTGTGAGCCGAGAACCTTCATTGTCCCTATGGAAATGTGAATCAACCATCATGAGATTCATACTTTAAAGAGAAAAATGGTATATAATTTTAAGAAATAATTTGAAAACCACCTTTGACTTAAAAGGCCTCGTTGGGAGACTTTCATCATGGAAGGACTGATGCTCTTTGTTGTAACCTCAACTTCAGCAGAGTTTATGAGATGCAGCAAGAAACACTAAATTGCCACAATAGCAAGTCATCAAAGAGAACATACAGATACTGAAGCTGCAAAATGATTAAAGATAGAAACCGAAATATATTCTTCACAATTTAATGAAAGTAACACAAAGTACATAAAAAGATTATACAAGGTTTCATACCTCCCATTGTTGAGCAGCATAGTTGTCTAACTCCTCTAAGCTTGGGAATCTTACTGTTATATTTGCAGCCATAGGTTCTCTTGGTAACACACCACTACAAAAACCACCTCAAATGTCACATACATACATACATACACGCATAAGCAATCAGCATTGGAGATGAGTTGGGATACAAGTTTCAACAATAGAGGTATATAAGTTTTTTTCCCATTAAGTCATTCTTTCAGCATTAAGTCAAATAGAGACACACACATATAGCTTACCAGATTAAGTGATTTAAGTCATATCACCATTAAGTCCACTAAGTCATATGACTTACCCATGAACAACATGCTTCCGAAGGTTCATCTGAAACATCAGGTTTAACCTGTAAGTGGCTTCCTTCTTCCTGCAGACACAATTCAGGACTTCAGCAAATAAGACTTAATTCAAAAGGTTATATACTCTTGAATTAAATGGCAAATGAAGTAGGCAATGATCTAATGAACTAAAAATCATCCATCAAAAGATAAACCAGATAGGTGAAGGGAACTCTGTTTGAAAAAGAAAAAAGTAAAAGGGAATTAAGCAAACACATGTACCTATCAACAGGTTCAGTAAATACTCTCAATTGAATGAGTCTATCAACAGCAACTCTATGCTTTGAAGCACCATCAACAAGAACCCATTCTTGCAATGAACTGGCTGACACAGGCACATCTATGTACAACAACTGGAGAACATACTTTTTGGCCAATGGTGGCAAAGACCTGAGCAACAAAATGTGGTTAACACATTGTGTAAATGATCAAACATCAAACATATATTAACAATGCAAAAGTGATGGACTTAAACAGATAACCTGAGAATAGCTTCACAAATGAAGGCATTCTCGTATAGCTTGTCGAGCTTCATGGCAGGTAAGGAGGACACCATGTCCATGAAATTCTTAGCTATAATCTTCACTTGAGGCATCTTGATCAACTTGTAAGATTGAAGGTGTGTTTGATTATAGGGATCGATTTGTGAACCTTGTCTGTGCTCATAATTCATATATTAACAAATTGTTGTGTTGGAATTCATTGTGAAATTGAAGCACATATTGAAAATTAATTTGGCATAACAATGTCTACAAACCAAAGAAATGTTTGGACCTGTATAGTTGGTGTTCTAAAGCACACCAATTTGTTTCCTGAAATAAACTATTTTCAACTCCCAATTCATTTCCAACTCCATAGTTATTAAGCCAGGTCAACTGAAAGATTAAGCAGAATAATCAGTCCCTGAAGAAGATAGAAAGAAAGCGGAGAGAAAGTACAAAAGCAGGAAGAATGTAAGGTAGAAAAGTATCACTCAACTTCTGTCTCTGTGAGAAAACAACCCAAGAAGGATAGAATTCTGGTAAAAGCAACTTTTTTGAATCTTCAACTGTCATTATCGCAAAAGCCGCAATCGTTGTTGCCTTCATCACATAATTTAACCCAAATTTCAATAAATTCACGAATATTCAGATCATACACTCAATTCAAATCATGTTTTAGGTCACACATTAAGGAAGATGCATATTGTGTGTGTTGTTAAATCAAACAACTCACACAAACTATTACACATAATGGAGACTGGAGTGTTTGTGTTGTGCGTAATCCAAATCCTTTTGAACTGACTCATAGACAGATGCAGATAGAAGTGTGTTATGACATGAAAGCTACGATAAAGCTAGATACATAACTTTTGGTTTCTTCCTCTTCGGGGGTGGTACGACGACCGGAGCAGCGGATAGTGGATGGGAGGGCCGTACGAGCGGAGGCGGCGGCAGCTAGCTTCTGCAGGACAGAAAGAAGGTGAGGGGCAGTCGGAGCAGCACCGACAACTGCCGTGTCGCGGTTGCAGATGGCGACAGAAAGAAGAAGAAGATGGAGGAATGGTGGCAGCGGACGCACTCACGGTGGCCACTCATTCTCTCCGGAAGGGAAGGTAGCCGCGATGGTCGGCGGTTAGGTGCAGCAAGGAACGGAGGTGGCGGCAGCGGTTGTTCACAGCAGCAGGCCGGCGGCGGCTGGGATGCCGGGGATTAAGGTGGCGGCTGAAAGAGTGTTGTAGAGTTAGGGTTTTCGGGTGTTGCACTCTAAAAACGGGAGGGGTAAGGAATCACGGGTTCAAGTCCGTGTTTTACCAAACTTGGATGTATTTTAACGAGATTGGTCCCTGCCTCTACAATTCCTTTACAATTTAAATCCAATAATTACTAATCACCTACACTTCACAAAATCTTTTACATTTCAAGTCCTAATATTACAATATAAACTCCAAATTCTAGTAATTATACCATTTAACTTCTTATGGCTAAAACTGATAAATTATTACGGATTTAAGGCTAAAATAAAATAAAATATAAAATATATCTCGGGGTTTTAGGGTTTATTATTTATTTATTTATCTATTTTATTTTATTTATTTTATTTCATTTATTTTATTTTATTTTAAAACAGAATGTTACACAATCAGGTGCCGGAAACTTAACATCAACTATCATCCGGTATCCGAAAGTATCAGATCTGGGGCTGTGGATATGTGGTTATGAAACTCGATCAAACAAGGATCGATTAGGATATCAGATTGTTGGATAGAGTAAATGGAAGATTCGTCCGTATAATTAAGGTGTGTGGTTTAGGGTCGACCCATTTAGTGGAATTTGGATATGTGGTTTAGGCGATCAATTTAGGATTTTTTATTGTTGCATAGGTTTTTATATTGTAAATGTTAAAAAATGTAGGGAGTGGTTGTGAGAGAAATTTAATAGGTTTTGTTTTGAAAAATAAATAAATAAATAAAAACAACCCCAACCAAACACAGTCAATCTTTTCCTTCTCTTTCTTCTCGCTGCTACAGTTGTGATTCGTCACTGGCGAGTCCCTTAGCGACTCATACAAGATGGTGTAAATATTGGTAGCAAGTGTTTGGCGAGAGAGGTGGCGACTGTAGCCTAATATTGCAAATTAACAAAATGTGATGCTCTTAGGAGGTAATACTTTTAAAAAAATGCCTCATTTTATTGAAATTGGAATCCACATTATTGAAATAGCCTTGCATTCTTCTTTGCTCTTCATAAATCATCCAAGTTGTAGAAATGGTCCTTCAACTCTTTTAGTTTTTTTTTTGTTATAGAAACGATCCTTCAACTCTTTTTTTTATTTCTTTTTACAAACCATCCGAACACTTATTTCATTTAAAATTTTGGTGTTTTGCTAGCTATCATCATGCATAATTTTCCTTTTTATAAATGAGATTTTCTACCATGCATCGTTTTTAATATATAATAACTATTATTTGTAGGTTAGCAAACAAAAATAACGCTAACCTACCGATTAAAAGGTTATTCTTCAGGGTTTTTTTTGAGTTTTCACCAAAATATAATTTTTTTTCCAAACACTCATCTTTTTGTTTTTTTCCTCACACCAAAGTGGAGCTTTTTCAAATTGGTTCGCCAGTTTGGGTTTTTTTTTCCCTGCTTTGTAATTAGTTTTTTTGCATTAATCTAATGGTTTATTGGTTTTAATATTTAACTCACATCCTTTAAACATGCTTTAATTTTTTTCATACTATATAGTGCTCATGTACTTGTCGACATAGCATCATTGTATTATTCTTTGTGATTACTAACTTTTCCTTATAGTATTAACGGATAAAAATCATTCTAATTTACTCTTTAAAATATGACATAAAGTTACGACATACATTTTTGTCTGTTGTAAATCATTGATATTTTACGATATATGACATAAATTTTATGACAGACTTTTATGCCTGTCATAAAAGTATTGTATGTCGTAATTCATCTGTCAAGGAAAGCCTTTTTTCTAGTAGTGAGTGGTTAAATGAATGCTCTAGATGTCTGACAGCTTGTTCCAAAATAATTATGACCACCTAATATTTATCTAATTAAAAAATTTCCTAATCTTAAAACAATAGATATTTATGTAACCAACAAGGTAAGTGTTAGTCATGTTGAGTTTTTTTAAATATTATTTGTTTCAAATTTATTTAGTGAAACTCAAAAGTGGAAGAAATTTTTTTTTAAGTAAATCTAATCGTTATAAATTATAACAAGTTTTTCAGTTTTTAAAAAATAAACATTTTCTTTGAATGCTCTTATTCCGGAATATTGTTCATATTCTGAAGGGGTTTTTTTTTATTTCAAAGAAATCTTTATTTTTGAGATTCCAAATATTACATTTCGAAGTGTTTAATATCATCGTTTTTTAGAAAAATGTCTACTTTTATGCACTAATATCGTATATAAATTCACATTACTATGTTTGTTTAAATTTTTGTTAGATTTAAACAAAAAAAAAAAGAGAATTTTTTTTTTCAAAATTTCAGAATTGTTGATCGGATTTCGAACTTGTTTTTGAAATTTCGAAGTTTTTTTTTTCTGAAATCCGAAATTTCAGTCCGGAATCCGTAATGTTGGTTCGGAATCCGGAATGTTGTTCTGGAATACAAACCAAAATGAACTTTTTGTCAGAGAAAATGTTTTTTCTTGCTACGAAATACTCATTTCGAACCAACTTGTTATTTTTGCTAAAAATATGTTTTTTTTATGATTTTTATTAAATACACGTTAAAAAGTTGTTAAATTACTTAAATTCCCAAAAACGTTGAAAATGAGATTTATTTTTTCGATTAATTTAAGGTTATATTAAAACCCTACTTTTTCTTTTTATCTCATGTGTATCTCATTTTGACAAACAAAAAGGTAATACTCTCTATCTCTTAGGGTATATGGAGAAGTCGGTGTAAAAAGTAAGATGTGACTCTTTGTCTCATAAAAATATATATAAGGGGTGGCAAATCGGGTCATCGTGTCGTGCTTTTGTCTGACACGACACGACACGACAAGGTTTTATGTAACACGAACACGACACAACACGATGTCGTGTTTTTTTAACTAACACGAAAACGAACCGATTAAAAAACGACAAACCCGACACGACACGACAAAGATAACATAATAAAAAATTAGTTTATTTAATTAATTTTTTATTACATAACACGACAAACACAAAAAAAAACGACAAATAAATATTAAATCGTGTCAATTTCGTGTAGAATTTTAGACACGAACACGACACGACACGACATCATGTTTTTTACACTTAACACGAACACGACACGAACACGAATTCGAATTTCAGTTTTGTCCCAATTTCGTTCCGTGTCGTGTATTTTTGTCGTGTCGTGTCAACAATTGTCACCCCTATATAAATATATTTAACTAGATTATATATATCAAGGTTGCAGAAATCGCTTGACGGTAGCTCGGCGGTGGACTGGGGTCAAGGGATTAATCGGCTAGGCGGTGATTAATCGGGGACCATTAATTATTAAAAAATTAATAAATAAAACATTAATCCTAAGAATATAACATTATATCTATTAAAAAGTTACTAAAAATTAATAAATATAACATTATAACATGATACTATGATTACAAAAACCCTTTTGATCCCTAATACATCAGATCTAAATAACCAACAATTGCATTTGGATCCAAGTCTGCATAAAATGGGGAGAAAAAAGTGTTATGAACAATGAGTTCCAATAGCATCGGGAAGAGATGTGGACCTGCAACCTGTTGTCTACTGCATTTGGAACTTTGTGAATGTTAAGGGAATTCAATAGAAGGAGGCTGTGGATATGTGGAAATTCCATGATCGATGATTCCATCCTGATTATTGCTATATAACACACAAAAGGCGACGACTGTTGTAGAAGCTTCAGAAGGCGAAGACTGGTTTAGCTTCGAGGATGACGACTGACGGACTGCGATGACGTGAATGGAAGAAAAAGACGGTGTCGGAGGAGGGAGAGATGGCATCGAAGAAGAATATGACATCGTTTTAGAAGCTTCAGTTCATGCTTTCTTTCGTTCCTTTAGACTATAGAGAGAATTTCAAAAATGAAAATGAATGAATGCGATGGAGTGAGAAGAACCCTAGCAGCAATTCTAACAATTTGCAACTTTTGCCCTTAATGTTTTTTTTCTACCAATTAGGGCGCCTAGGCCCGCCTAGACCCGATAATCTCTGTCTTTAACCGATTTTGACCATGTCCGATAACAGGGTCCGATTAGCTATAAACGTCGACGGTGGAGGACAGCCAAGCGCCTAGACGGCCGATTAATTGCAACACTGATATATATATATATATATATATATATTGATGGAGCTTGAAGTTTTGATTTAGAGGGCCGAAAGTACAATATGTATAAAAATTGAAAAACAAGGAGTCCAAAGTCAAACTTTATCATTTTATGCTTAATATGTAAAATTTTTAATAGTAGATGACTAATTCTAAAAAAAGGGGGGGGGGGATAGCCCCCGTAGCCCTAAAGAAGCTACGGGAACTGTTGAGAATTAAAAAATCCACGCAAACCCGAGAAACTTTCCTAAAATCTTAAAACAAAATCAAACAAAAAATTAGTTGGTTTTCAAAAATCTTTGAGTTATCAAATGATCTTAATTTTGTTATATCTCTCTCTCTCTCCATATATATATATATATATATATATATATATATATATATATATATATATATATATATATATATATATAAACAAAATCACACAAAAAAATGGTTGGTTTTCGAAAATCTTGAGTTATCAAGTGATCCTAATTTTGTTCCCTCTCTCTCTCTCTCTCTCTATATATATATATATATATATATATATATATATATATATATATATATATATAATATATATATATATATATATATATATATATATATATATATAATCAAGATCAAATAAGAGGGAAAATTTTGGTAAGAAGATAAGAAGTTTTTTTTCTATATATTTTTTTAGCGAACAAATAAAATGATTCAAAAGTTAGATGATTCACAAGAAAAAATTCTCAATAAAACATCTTCATGATTTAAAACATGAAGTAGTTAAGATAATATTTTAAATTTATCATTTAAAACATGAAGTAGTTAAGATAATATTTTAAATTTATCTGATCTCTTTATCTATTATTTAATTACGTAAAATAATGTGTTTTATACCCTCATAGTGGTTTTGTAGCACATTTAAATGGGGTTTATTTAATATTAACGTTAAATTATTAATTTTAGTGACCGGCTAGTGAAATCATTTGATCCGTTTAACACATGGTGGTGATGAAATACCTTAAGCTTATCGCCCTTCTTATAAATAGTCTAACTCTACTTCATGCTAATATATAGAAAATGAAATAGCATACATTGACGAAAACTATCAATGAACATGTCTCTTACACAAGAGGAAGTTACTCGCCCCCTTGTCAACTTTCCTCCAAGCGTTTGGGGAGATCAATTTCTCATCTACGATGAGGTATGTAAATTACCAGATATTAAAAGAAATAGATATTACTTTTATGTGTATCGATGTATACATGTACAACAACTTTTTTGATGATTAATAAATGGATGTAGCACGTGGAGCATGCTAGGATGGAACAAATAGTCAAAGATTTGATACAAGAAGTGAAGAAAGACATAATGGCAACTTTGGATGTTCCGAAGCAACACACAAATTTGTTAAGAATGGTTGATGCAATCCAACGCGTAGGCATAGCCTATTATTTTGAAGAAGAGATTGAGAAAGCTTTGGAACATATTCATGATGCATATGGTGATGACTGGAATGGGGGTAGTCCTTCCCTTTGGTTTCGACTTATGCGACAACATGGCTTCTATGTTTCATCCCGTGAGTGTGCATAAATAAAATAATTATTATTCGTGTAAAAGAAGCTATCTAACAGTGTTTTACATGTATCGAAACAGAAATTTTCAATAGGTACAAAGAGAAAAATGGAGTTTTTAAAGAATCTTTAATCACTGATGTCCAATGTATGCTTGAGTTGTATGAGGCAACTTATGTGAGGGTGCATGGCGAAGTTGTACTGGATGATGCTCTTGTTTTTACAAGAATTCACCTTGATGAAATAGCCAAGGATTTAGTCAAAGCAACTCTACTTTGTCTTTCCATATACAAGAAGCACTAAAGCAACCTATACAAAAAAGGTTGCCAAGACTAGAGGCTTTGCGCTACATTCCTTTCTATGAACAACAAGCTTTACATAACGAGTCTTTACTTAAACTTGGGAAGTTAGGGTTCAACTTGCTTCAATCACTGCATAAGGAGGAGCTTAGCCAAGTTTCCAAGTATGCATATATACTCCGTCAATCCAACAACCCCCCAGTTTCATTCTTCTTATCTTTTTTTTATTCTTCTTATCTAAAAAATATAACCTGAATATTATAGGTTGTTTCCTAGTTTGAATTTATTATCGAAAATTTGGTAGTTTTTAATAGATTTCTACATGCGGATTAATGTAATGTAGGTGGTGGAAAGGTCTTGATGTCCCAAACAATCTACCTTATGCAAGAGACAGAATGGTTGAATGTTACTTTTGGGCACTTGGTGTGTACTTTGAGCCACAATATTCTAGAGCTAGAATTTTCTTAGCCAAAGTGATTTCAATGGCAACAATTCTTGACGACACTTATGATGCTTATGGTACTTATGAAGAACTTAAGATCTTTACCGAAGCAATTCAAAGGTATCTTCTATTCACACCATCTACATGCACTCGAACACAAATAAACTTGTTCTAATTATGAACATAATCGTCCTTAAAACGTAATTCTTTTAATCAAACTAATCAAGAAATCTCGTGTCTCTGTGTGTGTGTATATATATATATATATATATATATATATATATATATATATATATATATATATATATAGGTGGTCGATTACATGCTTGGATGGGCTTCCGGAATATATGAAACTGATATATGAAGGACTATTAAATATTTACAAAGAAATGGAAGAAATCATGGCATGTGAGGGAAAATCATATCATCTCAGTTACGCCAAAGAGTCTGTAAGTTTTTACACCTTTTAATTTGCAATAATGTTTTACAATCAAAAAATTCTTACAATGGATGTGACTGTTGATCATGTTTTCATTTATAGATGAAAGAGTTTATTAGAAGCTACATGATGGAAGCAAAATGGGCAAATGAGGGATACGTACCGACAATAGAGGAGCACATGTCGGTTTCATTTATCAGTAGTGGGTATAGCATGCTCGCAACAACATGTTTTGTTGGCATGGGTGATATAGTCACAGATGATTCGTTCAAATGGGCTCTTACCAAACCACTTCTTGTTAAATCATCATGTCAAATTGCTAGACTCATGGATGATATTTTCTCCCAGAAGGTATATATCGAAATTTGATATTCACTACAAAGAAATCATTGGTTATTGCTAACAAGATTATTTTTACTCGCTTTGCTAGTTTGGAAGCATTAACACACTTTTCTTACTTAAAATGCAGGAGGAGAAAGAAAGGACGCATGTTGCATCAAGTGTTGAAAGTTACATGAAGCAATATGATGTTCCAGAAAAGTATGTCCATGACTTATTCAACAAGAAAATTGAAGATGCTTGGAAAGATATAACCCATGAGTCGCTCATGTGTAAAGATATTCCAATGACTCTAATAATACGTGTGATCAACTTGGCACGGGTGATGGATGTTCTATATAAGCGTAAAGATAGTTTCACACATGTAGGAGAAGAATTAATAGATCATATCAAATCTCTGCTTGTTCGTGCTATAAGTATATGAGTTTCAAGTCCTCTTGTTGTGCAGTGTTTGATACAGTGGTTTGATGTCCGACCACCCATTTTCTTGAAAATGGTTTATTTTGGCAATCTTGATATTCAGTAAGGTCGCAAGTTATTTGATGTTTGATAGCTCGATCTGAATGTAATTTATTACTGTTTTTTTATTAATCAAGTAGACGTGTCTTACAATATATACATATGTGAATGACTTTAGGTTATCATTTATACTCATGTCTCGCTAATAAAAATATTTAATGCCTTAAATTTGCCTTTTTCTGTTGTTACCGAATTCCAACTTTTGGAGGAACAAGCTAACTACAAACAAAAATAAAATAAGGCGGTTCTAGTATAGGGCATACACTGGCCCGCTGACTTTTTCGGCGCAACGAAAAAATTTGCCTTTTTCTGTTGTTACCGAATTCCAACTTTTGGCGCAACGAAAAATTTTTCGAAATTTTTGAAATTTTTTTTTTCTATTATTTTGCAACTCCTGATTTTCCCGTACAATCCCTACGTTGAAATCTCACGGCCTTACAATATAAAGGCCTTACAAAAAAAAGACCCGTACAGCTACACTTTTGGAGGAACACCAACAATATTCTACAACAACGCTAACGATGTGTTTCACCGACGAAGATGCCTTTTGGGACGGAGATTCACCGACATAACTTTTAGCCAAACACTAAAATGTTGTTTTTTTATTTTCTTTTTTCTCTGGTACTTGGACAATTTATAAACTATTTACCACCTACATATATCCTATATAAATGACTATATCCCTATTTGTTCCTTTTTATTACTATGTTTATTTATCTCTTTATTAATTGCTACTAGCCAGCTATTTAAGGCAAACCTTCAAAAGCTAGCTACAGTTAGAAAATCTGTTTACATGATTCTCGAATCAAAATAATACGTCGACTTATTATTATTTTAATACAAATTGTTATTATTGAAAATATATGCAATTGCATTCTTTAAAAATGTTTAATTCTCAAAAAACCAAACATAATTATATTATTTAAAAGTGAAAGGACGATATGTATGCATTGTGAACCTCTTAACTTTTATAATCTTGTTTCAGTAATTCGCGAACAATCAATTTTTTTTTAAATATTATCCAAATGAATGACATTAATTTAAAATGTAAGTAAGAGATTGTACTTTTTTTTAATTGGATGACATTAGTTTCAAATCCTTTAAAATTAAGGCTGTAAACGACCCGAACGAACACAAACAAAGGCTTGTTCATGTTCGTTCGTTTAAGTTAGCCGAACAATTGAACGAACACGAACGGATAAACGAACGAAATTTTCTTGTTCATGTTCATTCGTTTAATAAATTGCCTTGTTCATGTTCGTTCGTTTATGTTCGTGAACATGTTAAACGAACATAAACGAACAAATATAAACGAACAAAGATAAGCAAACACAATTGAACATATATGAACATAAATGAACTATAATATAGTAATGTAATAAAAAGACAATTGAAAATATATGAACATAAAAAAACTTAAACGAACGAACATAAACGAACGTAAATGAACAACATAAGCGAACGTTCACGAACGTAAATGAACGAACGAGACCATTGTTCATGTTCGTTCGTTTAACTAAACGAACGAGAATTTGTGTTCATGTTCGTTCATTTATTAAATAAACGAACATAAACGAACTTCCCGTCGAACAGTTCACGAACGGTTCACCGAACGTTCAGTTCTTTTACAGCCCTACTTAAAATCCTCAATTTCTTTTTTTAAATCAAAAAACTCCATTTTACTCTTTTGTGGTTTCAATATAGACAATAAATTTTTTTCCTATTAATAACCATCATGCGTTTTTTTTCCTATTAATAACCATCATGCCATTGTTGATCATAATCTCTATTTTTTTGATTTAATGGACACAAATTGGTCATATATGCAAACTATCTTTCTCAAGATGAACGGTATAAACACCTCGTAATAACACAATATATCTAACTATAGTTCAACGATAAAGGGATCAACTTTTGTTTAAATATGCTTGCAACCCTTTAATTGATGGCTATATGTTAGACCACAAGTATATTTTCAATGGAATAACATGAGCATGTTACACATTAGGAAAATCCCAAGCATGTAACATTTACATATAAACTACGAATTCCTAAGTCTTTATGCTAACATGCTAAAAACATTAATATCTCTAATGGGATCAACATTCGACTCCTTCCTGATCCTTGGAAGTTCATTCTTGATTACTATTAAAGTTTTTCGCGCCTATCTTATGGGTTTCCTTGTTGGGCTATGAAGTCTTGTCCAACATGGACATTTAAATCACAATGGACCACTCGGGGTTCATGGAACATGTGAAAAATGAATGAATAATCTGAGAAAGGAATTGATCGTCTGACAAAGGAACGAATAAAGTGCCAAGGGAACGGATCGTATAAGGGGGGGTGGTTGGAGCACCTGGAAGATGTTTGGAGCACTTGGGAGTGATATGGAGCAACAAGGGGACCATGTTGAGCCATCTGATAAAGGGATGGGCCAAGAAGGACGTTGTTGCAACATAAGCATTCCTTCTTGCGCCATCTTGCTCCCTCTTGCGCCATGAGGTATCCCTCTTGCGCCATGGAGTATACTTTTGTGCCAAGCATGTTCTTGTTGCGCCAAGGTGGTGATGTTGCTCCAAGATAGAAGTTCTTGCGCCACACTTGAAGCCTGTTGCGCCATCCTTGCACATGTTGTGCCATCATGGTGCAAGATGGGTCATTTTGGTTCCTTGATGAGCCATGGTATCCCTGATGAGCCAAATATGCCATGAAGTCCTCTATGATGCTCATGATCGTTTAAGGATGCTCAGAAGTTGGTATTCTCAAGGATTACACAATGTTGTGCCACCATGATGGATGTTGGACCATTAGTGTTCATGATGCGCCACCTGTGGATCATGATGCTCCACTATGGTCACGGTGGTCCATCATGTGTTGTTGATGCTCATGGGTTGTATGACATGGAAGAATGTTCCAGAAGATGTTGCATGGCGGAATATGATTGGTTGTCACCATTCACGGGCTATGGGCCAATAGGCTTGGCCCATTAGGGTTTTAGGTCTGATCCCTCAAATATAAATAGTCTCATACCCCCATTGTGACATCCCCATTTTCACGGCCAGAAAAGACCGATTTTGTTTATGCTTTATAAAAATCAGAGTACTTCTTTTAATAAAAAATGTTGCGGAATTTGTTCCTAATAAAACATGATAAATACGTTATCAAAGCTTTTCCGAAGAAATGTATTTTTATTCGTTTTTAAAACATTTGGGATGTCATCGTCAATACAGAAACATAAGCATAAACAGAACTTACATTCATTTACACTAGTGATCTACATCTCTTTTAAATCTCTCAGTGTAATGTAACTTCATATCGACACCTGTGATAGAAATAAGCTGGAGTGGGTCAGGTTGGGAAACCTGGTGAGTACATAGGGTTTTCAACCCACAATAATATAATTATTATGTTTAACATCAATCCATCAACCCAATTACCCAATCCCCATCATCTCACTCTTAAGGGTCTACCCTAAGAGTTACTTATCATGCATTCGTTCATTCTGAAGAACCTTGCTTCCAAGATTTATAAGACAGGCACTAAGTCCATAGCTGCCAATGCTCGTTCGTAAAGCACTAATTCCATAGCTGCTAAACTTCATTCATCAGGTACTAAATCCATAGATACCCGTGTTTATCTATTAGGTACTAAGTCCATAGCTACCAACGTTTATCTATCAGGTACTAAGTCCATAGCTACCAGCGTTTATCTATCAGGTACTAAGTCCATAGCTACCAACGTTTATTCAATAGGCACTAAGTCCATAGCTGCCAATGTTCACTCATATCATCTTTTATCTCTCATCATTCATCTACCCATGTTATTCCCAACATATTTGTAGATAATAAATACGTATACAGTTTAAATCATTTAAAACATGTATAAAATTGTTAGGGTGCAAAGTTACTCTTGGATGTAGTGTTTTAGGCTTACCCTCTTGTATGTGTAAATGGGTTGAGTCTTTCCTATAAATAGGAAGTGAGTGACTCCCATTATGTAAGGAACCATTTTGGAGTGTTAGACTAGAGAGAGAAATTGTGTACAAACCCATTTATATATCCTTTCTAGATCTAATATGAGCTTACACAGATTTATTTACTCCTTGTGTTCTTGATTTTACATGATGATTCACTAGATCTTTCTAATTCCTCATAAGCCATCATAATCAACACCACTACAATTGGTATCAGAGCGGGTGTTCTTGATTTGATCAAGAATTGATCCTTGATGGCTTTCTTGATTTGGTGATTCATTTTATGATCTTGGATCTTCGTGGTTTAGAGAGTTTTTGGATTCTAGAAATCGAATTCGTCTTTGATTCTATTCATAATTCGATTTTCTTCACTAGAATTCAAGTGATTTTTACTTTCTCTCTCTAGAAAACCCATTCAAAATCACATTCTCTCTCTAGAAATCTTCAAGTTTTTGTGATCATGGTGAATTTGCCATACAATTCTTGGATTGTGATCGTTGAAGGTATCAAATACAAAGTCAATAAAGATCAATATTATGGGTTAGTGTTAAGCAGTTTGATTTTTTGGGAAACTATGGTTTCTTATGGAGGATTGAAGGATGATCATGGAAGCTTGATATTTCAACCACTTTGTGAGATCAAATGGTTGGCTGATATTACATGGTCCATATCATCACGTAGTAGTGATAAGATTGGAGAAGAAAAATATTTGTTCAAAAAAGAAATATGTTTCTCTTATTGAAGACCCAAATGATCTTCGTGCTCTTAAGGTTGTTGAAGTTGTTAACAATGGAGTTCAATGTGATGTTCTTGATGTTCTTGAAGTTCATGATAAGAAGATTCAAGTTGATTCTCAAGATGAAAAAGTTTTTTGCTCGATTGGAGTTCAAACCGATGATATTTTGTGTTCTTGTGATTCGTTTGAAGGAATGATTCCTTATCGGAAGCCGGTGATCCAAGAAATTCACAAGTATCAAACTCCAAAAGATTTGATTCAAACTCATAAAGTTGAAGTTGTGGAAAGTGGGTTTGTTCATGAAATCAAGTCTTCAAGATGCAAAAAGATGAGAAAGAAAAGAAGAAGAAGATTAAAAGGAAGAACAAGCGG